TTTGTGTTGGAAGAAGTATATCCAGCATGATCCTTGGAAGATAGGATGGTGAGACTTTGTCTCTCATACTCTACATGTAGTATCAGGAGGAACCAGTCAGTAGAGAAGAATATCATACTTGGTAAAGTAGAGGGTCAGTCAAAAAGAGGAAGACCCCCAACAAGATGGGTTGCCACAGTGGCAGAAGCAATGCTAGTGAGGATGATGCAGGACTGGACATTGTTGCATTCTGTTGTATATAATGCACTGGTATTGACTTGATGGCATCTAACAACAACATTTAAGGAGCTCTGTTAACATAGTGGTTACGAATTGGGCTGTGAACCTTAAGATCACCAGTTCAAAACTACCAGCTGTTCTGCGGGAGAAAGATGAGCCTTTCTGCTCCCATAAAGATTTACAGCCTTGGAAACTCTGTTCAGGGTCGCTATGGGTCGGTATTGACTCAACAGCACTTAACAACAACAACAACAACGTTTAATTCTTACAACTCTGGAAGGAAATTAGTATCATAACATATCACTGCTTTCGATTCAAGACACAGGGAGGTGAAATGTCTTGCCTAAAGCCAGGGTTTTGTGACAAGGCTTTGCTGAAAACCCAGGCTCGTCTAAATCCAATATCCATGTTTTGTAGATTCAGTCTGGCCTGGTTTAAAACATGTCAAGAGTTAGCATGAATATGACCTTTCCCATTGCCGTTGGCTCATGGAGACCCTGTAGGACAGAGGAGAACTGCCCAAAGGCTTTCCAGGGGTTATAATACTTATGGAAGCAAACTGCCACATGTTTCTCTGGTGAAGCAGCTTCTAGGTTCGAGCTGCTGGTCTTTTGATTAGTAGCCAAGCACTTAGCCACTGTGCCACCAGGACTCCTTTTAATGTGACCTTGTTGTTGTTGTTAAGTACTGTGGAGTCGGTTCCGACTCATAGTGACCCTGCACAGGGTTTCCAAGGCTGTAAATCTTTACGGGATCAGAAAGCCCCATCTTTCTCCCGCAGAACAGCTGGTAATTTCGAACTGCTGACTTTGTGGCTCGCAGCCTGATTCATAACCACTACACTATATAACATAGTAAATGCTCCAATAAATGACAGTGTCTCCCTGCCATCTTTTTTCAGCCACTGCCATTCATGCCCCACCTCTAATTGCTCAGTAGACCTTTCTTTTGCTTTCTTCCTTTTTTTGTAGGGTCTACAGGGTGGCCTTATGATGCTGGTGGTGGTGGTGTGCCGTGGAGTCGGTTCCGACTCATAGCAACCCTGCGTAGGGTTTCCGAGGCTGTACAACTTTATGGGAGCAGAGAGCCTCATCTTTCTCCTGCGGAATGGCTGGTAGTTTCGAACTGCTGACCTTGAGATTAGCAGCTGGACTTGTAACCACTACACTACCAGAGCTCCAGGCCTTATGATTCAGGGTGAAATATCTTATTTCTCTGGTTTTTGTTTGGCAAAGCCAATCCAACATTAGGGGAAAGAAGGAGAAGAAAAGGCCCAAGAACAAATGTTACTTCACCATTCAGACTCCAGGCACTCACTCATCTGTGCCAAGAAATTTGGAAGACAGCTACTTGGCAAACTACTTGGAGGAGATCCACATTTGTGCCCGTTACAAGAGAGGTGACCCAACAGAATGCCGAAATCATCAGATAATATCAATATCAAATAGAAGTAAAATTTTGCTAAAGGTAATTGACTTGGCTGCTATTGAGTTACATTAATCTCTAGGAAGTTTCACAGCTGACTACATGCACAGGATGACAAGTGACAGGTTGTAGACCTCTGTGCTAATTCTGAGACTGAGGACCTGGTGTGCTGTGGGTTAATGCACTGCACTGCAAAGTCAGTGGTTCAAGATCACCAGCTGCTGCTAGGAAACCCTATACAGGGTCACAGTGGGTCACAACTGACTCAACGGCACTTAACAACAACTATGGATTATACTGGGAGACAAAAGTAGATCTGTGGAGGGTCAAACAACAGGCAGCTTAACTTAACCAAACTCATTGTCATCAAGTGACTTCTGATTTACAGCAACCCTGTAGCACAGAGTGGTGGTGGTGGGGATTGTGTGTCACTGAGTCAGTTCCAACTCATAGAGCCTATATATGGTTTCCGAGGCTGTAAATCTTTATGGAAACAGAAAGCCTCATCTTTCTCCCTCAGAGTGATTGGTAAATTTGAAATGCTGAACTTGCGGTGAGCAGTCCAGCTCGTAGTCCACTACATTACTAGGGCTCCTTGTAGGACAGAATAGAACTGCCCAGTCAGGTTACAAAACCATCTTTTTACTGCGGAACAGCTGGTGTTTTCAAAGTACCTATCTTTGCATTAGTAGCCAAATGCTTACCCACTGAACAACCAGGAATGTAGATTGTGGGAGGAGAGGTGGGAGGCATGAGCAAACTGAAGAATGGAGAGGGTTCTGAAATGTGGCTTGATGGGAAAAAAAGGATAAATGAGACATGTGGTCAAAGCCTGGTGAAATAGAAGCAGTGTGCTCCCATCTTCTCTATTTGAAAGGCAAACTGCTTTCATAGAAATGTACGTCAGAAGACTGGAAAGTCCTGAGTCATGAAATTGAGCTTCAATGAGGAGATATGGATATATTTTGGCAGGGACTAGCTTATCAATACTTGAAGAAATGAATTTCTTTTTAGCTTTCATCCTGTGTGGCCTACCTGGAAGGTTTTTGAAGTAAGATTTGTGGGCAAAACTTAAGTAGAGGAATGATTTATCAGTATCTCAGCTACAAAATTAAAAGTGAACATTTCACACAACCTGCGGGTATATAAGTGGAAACAAGTTTTCTGTAGGGTGTTTGGTAATATGTATCAAAAATCTTTAAATATATATGGACTTTGATCCCATAATTAGATTTCTAAAATATTTTCCTAAGAAAATATTCAAAAGTATAGATTAGGTATTTATCATATTATCACAAAATTGGAAAAATATACATGTATAATAGCAGATTACCTAAATAAATTATGGTATATTCATATGGAATAGTAACTATTTGTGGTTTAAAATGCATGTTTTAGAAGATGATTTTTTTTTAAATGAAAAAATGCTTATTTAGATTTTTTTAAAATGAAAAAAATGCTTACGAATTGGTCTGCAAACCTTAAGGTAAGCAGTTCGAAACTACCAACTGTTCCACAGGAGAAAGATGAGGCTTTCTGCTCCCGTAAAGATTTACAGCCTCGGAAACCCTGTACAGGGTCACTATGGATCAGAACCAACTTGACAGCACTTAACAACAACAATAGAGCAAAAACATGTCTGGAATGACATCAACTTTGATAGTATACATAGTACACAGGTTAAAAGCTGGAAAAATAAGGGTGTATATATTATCATCTGCTGCTTCTTGGAAACCTTATACAGGGTCGCTATGGGTGGGAACCAACTCAGTGGCACTTAACAACAACAACAATTAAATATATTTATATATATATACATTTAAATAACCTCTTGTACTAGTAAGTTAAAAAAAAAAGTATATTAGCCTTTTTGTTAGAGATATTAGTTCTAGTTTTCTAAGTATGTGTTCCTTTATCCTCAGTCCCTTACATTCTGATTTCAAATATTTCCCAAAATGTTATCAAGTAGTTGGTTAGCTGAAATGGAGGAAGATACAAGTCGTGACCATCGTTTCTTTTCCGTCTACATCAACTTGCATCATAGAATTTCCTCTTATCACTTTGATCAAAGGGAGGGGCAGAAAATGTTAAGTTGTGTATCTTTCAGAAACAGTTCATTTCTGCTATTAGTCATCCAATCCCTCCACACAGTCAAAGGCTCTTGGACTGGAAAAGCCAGCTTCTACCTGATTCTTGGATCCACTGTCTCCACCTGACTCATTCATTACATGACATAGATGCAGGTAACGTCTGCTTTTATTTCTTCAGGTGTCTGTGGATGATCATTCAATTTGTCTTACTTAGAAGGAACAATTGTAGAAAAGGTAGGAATGATTTGCCAAGAGTAAAGAATTTGATGGAAAAACATTGTCTATTAGAACTGCATCATCTTTGAAGGATGTAAAAAATGTTTGTAGTTCAGCAAAATTAGTTTTCCATTCTCAACCTGCTATGATCTTTGCTTTGTGGTATTAAAATAAAGAGGGTTTGGGAGATTGATTACTGGTTATTGGCTCTTATGGTGTCTATAGTGCAGGAGAAAGATAAGGCTTTCTGTTCCCACAAAGATTTGTTGTTGTTAAGTGCCTTCGAGTCAGTTCCAACTCATAGTGACCCTGGATAGGGTTTCCAAGTCTTTTAAAAATCTTTGCGGGAGCAGAAAGCCTCGTTTTTCTCCTGCAAAGTGGCTAGTGGGCTCCAACCATGGACCTTGTGGTTCACAGTCCAGTGCTCATCATGAAGCCAGCTTTGGAAACCCTATACAGGGTCACTCTTAGTCAGAAGGCACTCAACAATGTATGAATTATCTAATATACCATGAAGAATTCTGTAAAAGAAAAGACTCCCTTTTTCTCTTAGGATATTTTGGAAAATGTGAATAAATAGGTTTTGTGAATTAAAAAGAGTTCCAAAAATGTCACAAAAGAAGACTATTTCTTAAACTTTAATCTCCACAGAATTATTTGAGATAAAAAATATAAATATCTGGGCTCCACCCTAATAGATTCTTATTTAGCCATCTTACATGGGGCACTAGACTATGGAATGTTAGGTGAATGCCTTGAGTTCTTCTTTTGCACGTGGCTTATTAAAAACATTGAGAAACACTGTAGTTGCCTCATATAGTAACTAAAAAGAACTTTGTTTATATTCATATGTTATCAGAACATATATAGTAAGCAAAGAAATAAGGTTCTTTATAATGAAAGTTTTTAAGTCAAGAGATTTATGTTGTTTCTGAATGTAAAATTTATTTTTGGTTTTTGAATTGTTAGTTTTAAATGTGTTCCAGTGATTTGGGATGATACAAATTTTACCTAAGCTTTGTACATGCCTGTTGAACACTGTTAATAAAAATGTCTGGGCGACTAGGACAGTTATCTGTTGGTAATTTTTTTTTTAATGCTTTCCATATTTTGTAATAATGTTGGCAATGGGCATTGAGATTGTAAGTGAGGTTCACAGAAATGTTGAAAGATTTTCCATTTCTTATAACCTAGTAGTTACAAATCGGGCTGTGAGCCGCAAGGTCAGCATTTCAAAACTACCAGCTGTTCTGTGGGAGAAAGATGAAGTTTTCTGCTCCTGTAAAGATTTACAGCCTTGAAAACCCTGTACAGAGTTGCTATGAGTCGGACTTGAGTCTAACATATAAGTTAGGCTCAGTTATATTTTTGAGGCATTTTAGGGAGTTAATAAACACACACGCGCATATATTTCTCTCATCATCACATCCTAGTATGTTCATATAGATTGACATTTTTATGTTTCTTATATATAGTCCTGTTGCAAGGTATTAATACAAAACATTTTTCTCATCTTATTTCAGATATGAGCGATCAGGAAGTGACGTATTCAGCTTTGAGGTCTCATCAGTCTCCTTCAGAGTCACAGACTAGATTAAGAACTGGTGGTACTAAAAGGCCAGAGGAACCTGTGGACAAAGGTATATGGTTCTAAGGATCTACTGTCTCTTATGGATTGTCAAACTTTTGACATTTAGGAGGATAAAAATGTCCTATTTGTCATCAGCTTCTCAGCTGTTCAGATGAAATGATAATGAAGTATAATAGATGAATTGAAGTCTTCTTTTTAAAAGTTGTGAGAATGGAGAAATTCATGAATTCTTTTTAAATTTGAGAAGATAGCTAGAAAAATGTGTGAGGCCTTTCAAAGTGAAGGACATTATGGAACAAGTAATTTCATTTCACAGTGATAGAAAAATGGCATTGATTAGGGTAAAACTGTACACTTGGTCATTGTAACAGCTGTTAAGTTACACACTTGTAAAAAGTTGAATTGTCAAACGTGTGATAGATATATCTACAGAGAGACCTACATCTACAGAGAGATCCAGCAACACAGCAACCTAAAGAGCAGCTCCTAATGAACGCTACTTTGTTATTAATAAATGCCGTCAAGTCAGTTCTGACTCACAGTGATTCTATATAGGGTTTCCGAGGGGTCTGGCTGGTGGGTATGCATTGCTGATCTTGTGGTTAGAAGTCCAGTGCTTACCCTATAACACCACA